ATTTTAGGAGTTTTTAAGGACATAAATCCAACCCTTAGTCATTACATATATATGTATATATTATGGTTAGGATAAGAGGATAAAGTTACCATAGGTTTTGAAGTAAATCGTTCTATTTAAAATATCTAAGAGCTACCGTATAATGGGATAATGATGGTAAAAGGATAAGATTTGAGTTTTAGTATTGAGGGGGGGGTGAGAGGGAGGAGAACACAAAGGATTAAGTTTGCTTTGTGGACGCTAACTGGCGAAGGGAACTTGGCCGCGGCAGCGTAGAGCGTACAATACGCTATAGGGCACAATAGGCCCCCCCTTCAGCTATAACTGGCTTTTAATACCCAAGCAGGGGCTGCCATATGTTGCGAAACAATGTAATTGTCCACTCCTCTCTTACAATAGTCTTCTTACAGCTTTGTTCCCAACATGGCCGCTGAGGACCGGCAAAATGGCGGCTGTCTCTGATTGATCGTCGCTTCCACCGATTTTGGACAAATCCCCCCCATCGCCCCTAATTCTTCCCCTTTTACTTTCCTTACGGAGGTTGTTCCCCCATCACCATTTCTATCAAGTGGTCTTTCATATATACGGTCGAGCTAACATCTATCGCAAAAACTTTATATATAGAACTGTCCATGGTACATACCCTTTTTTATTAAATTGTTAACATGCGACTAAAACTTTATCGTAACCTACAATTTTATTATCTAATAAAATTCTTAGAAATGGGGCATTTCCTCTTTTAACTAATTAATTAAATGAGGTACTAAAAAACACCCATTTGCTTTCTCCTTAAACAATCCACTCACCATAATTCGAAATCTAAGGGACTACAAGAAAACTTCGAATCATCGAGACTTTGAGAGTTATTTTATTTTTGAAAGTATGTATGAGCTTACATAAATTATATATATAAATAGCTTCGTGTGAAAGATATTACTAGGAAAATTTCGAATCATAAAGAGGGTCTAGTTTGAGTTTCAGAAAGTTCTATCTTCCTCTTGTTACGAAAAGGATTTCGAGTTATCGAATCATCAAAATACAATATTTTTTCGATTTACTGAAGTTAACAACCGAAGAGTAAAAATAATCGAGATTCGAAGTATCGAGAGTCGATAGTATCGTAAGATAGTTTGATTACAAAGTCGAGAAGAAGTGCGGTCTGCAAAAATATTGGACTTTTAGGCCTATATAACTTCGTTATTTTGATACGTTGGGGATGGTGGTTCAGGCCTAACCGGCCCAATATTTTTGTATGTCACCTTATTTTTTTTCTTGATTTTGTGATAAAATTGTCTTACTATTCAAGTGGAAAGGAAATAAGTGTTTGCATGAGTTTTTAGTTCCTCATTAATTAGACGGTTTACCGATCTGCAATAACTTACAGCTTTTTAATTTTTACGAAAACTCGGAGAAATGGGTCATTTTCTTTTAAACTAAATTGAACTCATGAATACATATTTGCTTACTCCTTATATCGTAAGATAAGTTATAATTACAAAATCGAAGAAAAACGGGACCTACAAAAATAATCGGCTCTTTCGCCGATATGACTTCAATATGATGTCAAGCCGAACGGCCCAATATTTCTGTAGGCCACCTTTTTTCTCGATTTTAATCACATTTTGTGATTAAATATTCCTACGATTCAAATGGAAATCAAATGAGTGTTCATGTGTTTTTAGTTAATAAGACAAAGTTTACCTCTCCCTAGATTGAAAACGCCATATTTCCAAGAACTTTCCTAAATAAAAAAGTTGTAGGTTACGATAAGATGAAGTCATTCACAAACGTTTTAGACGAATTTTAATAATTTGATAAAAAGGGATCTGTACCGCGGACTAGAATTTTAATTTTTGATGTGCCTTTTCTTTATATAATATCAACAGCTTAACTGATTAAGAAGTATGGTTTAGATTTGGATCCTCTTTCTTATTACTCATAATCGATTCCACTCTTATCTGTTAAAGGACGTACTTTTTTTTTTTGTGGACATGATTTTATGAATAGGCATAGACAAATGAGTTCGGTTCCTTTTTCTCTTGTTTGTCAACAGATTATCTATAAACTGTATCGCCCAAACGATTGTAATGATTTTATGAGACATGGTTGTCTTCTCCTTGAAACCTTTTTAATTTATGTATACAACATAATTTATAATACTTCCCCGAATATCGTTTTCGAGTATTATAAAACTAAGTTATCGTTAATAAAATTAATTACATGAAACAGCTGATAGTTTGAGTTAGTGAGGGAAGGTTTGACCACGGCCTCTGAGGTTTGAGGCAGCAGTAGCTGATTTGCATTACAGAGGGCGCCTCTGACCGGAACATCAATAGCACTGTTCAATCAGCAATGGCTCTATCTATATCAATTATCTCCAACTAACCATCCGCAACAACCATTACCATTTCCTATTGTCATATCGCCATCTCATCTACTTCATATTTTCGGATTCAATTCAATCTTTTCTTATGGATTAAATAAGAAGGTAAAATGACATCTCATCGTTTTATCTATCTTCAATTAGGATTAATAAATTCGAAGCTCAGCATCTCTTGTAAGACCTATCTGTTCGTTGGTAAGCGATGTTTTTGATCTCACAGGTGACATTTAAAGAGGCTAATAAACAAATCTATATTCGAGGCTATAATGATATATGTTCGGAAACCAGATTCGTTAATGCCAGATACTAAAAAACATTGCTAACGATAGAAATGGACATTTGGAGATCAGCTAGAAAATCCCAAAGGGAAAAAATTAAAGAATTCTGGAATTCATGGAGATGAAAAAGAACATTCTAGCAGACATTGAAGAAAAAGAGTAAGGTGGTTTGGACACGTTAAAAAAATGTCTGTAGAAAGATTCTCAAAAATAAATATAGAACTGGAAGTAGAAGGAAGAAGGAAAAAAGGAAAACCGAAGGTAAAATGGAAAGACTAAGTGATAGAAAGTCTGGCGAGACATGGGATGTGAGAAAAATAAACCCTAAATATAATATAGAACTATTGAAAAATATTCTAAATGACATTTAAGTCAAGGGAAACCACAATTGTGAAAGATCTCATGAATTAAATCTCTCAGGATTTAATCATCCAGATGAATAATGTTTTAGATATTTAAATTCGGACATCGTAAGACGAACAGGAAAGAAATACATTCATTACCTACTGAAAAAATGTACAGAAATATTTTGTTAGATATCTGTTCGGAAGCGCAATAAATACATCGATTCTAAAAGTACTGCATAAGAAATAATTGAATATTGACATTATTATCAATGACAGTTGAAATAATGAGATATGATTCTTAAAAAAAAAAAAAGTTTTATATAACTGATAATGATTGGCGCCAGAATAATTTCAGGGTATTGGAACAGCCTAGATTTCTTATATATTTAAATATGGATAGTCCATAATATTTACTTTAAGACCACTGAGTCATATTGTGTGAAAATAATCTCGAAAGGAGATTCCAACAACTTTTGCAACATGTCAGTGGTAGAAAATGTAACTCATAAAATCTAGTTAACATGAAATCTTGAAGCAATGTTGTTATAAACCTAATTGAACCAACACCAATCATACCCAAAAAATAACAGTGTATCTTGACCCCTGCAGTTTGTGGTATCGCTATCATTAATTATAGTTTTTCCTGATAACATAAATTAAATAGAATTTCTAACAGCCGTATTTCGATTTTTCTAAACAGTAAAGAAGCTGTGGAAAACTTAAAAGGATTCATAAGGAAATAAAAATATTTTCGATGTCAATCAAGCCTGACAGTATTTGGAAGGGCCAGGGATGGTTAAAGTTACAATTGATCGAATTACAGTCAGCTGTTCGTCGATCTTAAGACCATCCCATGTTACTGGTACAAGTGATGGTAGCGGAAGACGCTGACCGGAAGCGGACCGAGAGGTGGAGGGAGACACGGTCGCCAGGACAACCACCATTAACCCTCCCCCCTACCAGAGCCACCCCCAGCTACCGCTGCTTTAATGCCACGATTTACATTGTCGCCATTTTTGTTCCCCGCCGCCAGAGAGCAGAAAATCTCACTTTAGCTGAAGGCTGTAGGAAAAATGTATTTCGAAGGTTGTTTCAATTCTACGTGTTCCTCCTAATACATATGAGATTTAGTCACAACAGTAATTAGTGTTGTGCAGTAGTATATTTTGTGAATAAAAAAATAATGAAACGTACAGGAACAAAAAGCTTTTACAGATAAATATTTGATGTTTTTCTTGAAACCACGGGCGAATCTACGGGAGGGGAGAGGAGGGGCTTTCGGGCTGAAGCTCCCTCCCCCCAAAATGGTAAAATATAACCATGTTTTATGGAAAAATATATTTAAAAAATATCTCTTAAAGTATTATTGTTCGTGCAATTACATTTAAAAGGACTTAAGGAATCACTTAAACACCATTTCATATAGATAGTTAGTTTCTTTCTTCTTTTCCAAATTAATTATCGTAATTTTTGTGAAAAAAAAGCTTTCAGGCTGAAGCCTCTCCCCAAAATTAAATCCTGGATCCGCTAGTGCTTGACACGATCTCACGTTTCGTAGCTGTAAATATGTTATGACTTAAAAAGAGAACATATTGTGGTAGTTTATGGATTTAGGTTAGATAACTCACAAAAAAAAAAAAATATGGACTGATAAAAAAATATATTTTCTATTTTGAAGAGGAGAGGGACGTCAGCACGAAGATCAGGACAAGTTCAATGATATAGCATATGGTATCTATTTCCCAGGGGGCGGGATGGCCGAGTGGGTTAACATTAGTGAAAAAAAAAGTGGGTTGCTCGACAATCTGATAACCGAAATTGGAAAATAAAATAATTCGCATAGCAAAGAGTTGGCGCTCCATTGTCAAGGGGCATTAATACCTCGCCCTCTCCATTGGTCCGGAAAAATACCATATAGGCTGTAACGCGAAGAAGGTGTTGACAAAAATATCCTGTATTGTTTAGTGTTGTATATTATCGTACAGTACAGACCTGCAGAGAGGTCTAGGTCCCGCTTCCTCTTGGCCTGGTGGTCGGGGTGGTGGTGTGGTAGGCCGAGGATCCCGTTGATGCTGTACCTGTCGTGTTGCGTGGCGGGTGCGTGCGCGATCACGGAGACGGTGCCTCCGCTGGGCGGGCTGCAGCTGTTGCTGCTCTGCACAGCGTGCTTCGCCTTCTCGGCTGCCTTGTTCCGAACGATCCTGAAACAGAAAAGGTTCACATCAACATGGGTTGGCAATAATAATAATCCAAGAAGAAATGAGGGTGCTGCGAATCAAGTATAAAGCTAAAAAAGGATGCAATTGTCGAATATATCTTTCGTAAATGGTAATTAATCTGGCGATATGTTAACTGGTTGTTTATATATATACTATTATGGTATATAGATACTAAGGAGTATGTTCCATTATAAAAACCTACATAACCCTACATAATGGCTTTAGTATCCATTCTGGTCCTGACATGTTTCCTTATACATCTTTATCCTTAAACACAATCCACTTCCATCTCTACTCATCCTTATAATCTTCTCAGCAGATTCATATGGCAGTGGTCGGGCAACCTTTCGTAAATATGAAATATTGGAGTTCAGCTTCATGACGCGGTTGAGAGAGTAGCACAGGGATCTCCTGGAGTGTATATATGAATGTATATGCTTATTTTTATTTATTGCGTATATTTTTTTCAATATTATTTATTTTCTTTTTTTATTTAAGTATAGTGAGTTACTCACTAAAATACATAGAATAGAACATACCAAGTATAATTTAAAATAAAATACAATGTTTACGAATCGACTTCCAATTGCACCGTTTTTAATAAGATGGGATGATTTTTCATGGTGTGGAGCATATGCCATCGCTCTTAGAGGAGATGGGCACCCAAGTATTCCTGAGATGGTTTATTAGCTCCGAGAATTAAAGACATGCATTCATGAATGATGAAACTATACAAAGTTTAAACACACAAAAGAAGATATTTTTCGGAATACAATATAAAATAGGATGCAGTAAAAATATGTAAATTACATTCAGGGGTGCCCAGAAGAGGGTTTCATGGCGCAAGTTGCGCCATCAAACTTTACGAGCAGGTCACTTTTTGACGAGGTTTCCAATTTTTATTGGGCACATCTCGAAGGGATAATGCATTTTCAAAATGAAAAGTTTCATATTAAAAGACAAGTGGAAGCATAGAACAGACGGCAGGATGGTTAATTGTATATAATATAAGAACATTTAAATTCTACTTTCGTTAAGACTGTTTTTAAGAATAAGAGAGGAACAAAATATCTTGGGAGAGATGGGGGAAGGTTTATGCAACATCGGCCTTGGGGAAGGAGGAGATAGGCAACCGTGATTACATTTGTCACAAAGAAAACGAATTGACTTATTGTTTATACCGCATTATTTAGTGAATATAATCTGAATATGATCAGAATAGTATATAGATATTACATCATAGTATACTACAAACACAAACATATATAAATATATATACCGTACAGCGTACAATAGTAGGTCCTCAACTATCCGGATGATTAACTTCCGAATCGATGACTCAATTTAGGAATAAATGACGAAGGAGGAGAGAATGATAAGAAGAGGGACAAGGAGAGCGGTCGCAAATGGTGATGTGGTCCTCCAACCCTGAAATAGGACCATAGCTACTCCTCAGCCCCAAACATATGTTAGCTCTGTTATTTTCTCAGTTCTCAAGTGACGATGGTATTACAAGTCCATTGATAAAAATGCGTCAAGTTCAATGAAAGAAAGTTTAATTTAAATTAGAATTTATTTAATTAAAAATAATGCTGGTTTTATTTTTCATCAGAATCAAATACAGCTCACTAACATAGATTTTTGTCAAACTATTTTATTTAGTAATACACCATTCTGTCACAATGCTTATAGAGTGTTAATTTACACCACATCTACAGGAAATATAGATCGATAAAATAAAGACAAACTAATTACTGAATAATAATTAAAAAGTATATCTGAAGTCCAGGTTTTTCCTCTACGTGTAGAGAGAAAAGCTGGATTCAAGGAGATCACTGCGCTACTCTCTCAACCACATCACTTGAACTAAAGTCAGTGAAGACAGAGAGTGCGCTACAGCGACACACAACACACCTTTATTGGAGAATCTAGATATTGTCTTAACTCCAATATATGGGTATTTACAAAATATCACGGAGCCACTGCCGTTTTAACCTTCAAAGAGGATTGCAAGGATGGGTAGAGCAAGATAGGGGTTGTACTAGGGCATTTGGATGATATGTAAGGGATCTGGTGAAATTTGAATTTTTTATCTAAAATTTTATTTTTTCTTAAGTTTCAAATTTAATTTTATCCTTCGAGCAAACCATTGTGAGATCAAACGTTAGGTATAAGGTTTAGTTCATATTTCAGTTAAGTTCATACTGCAAAAAAAAAAAAAAAGCTTATGTTCAAGCATGGTGAACATTTCCATCGCTTACCACTAGCGGATCCAGGATTTATTTTTGGAGGGGCTTCAGCCCGAAAATTTTTTTTTTTCATAAAAATCACGATAATTACTTTGGAAAAAAAGAAAAAAACTAACTACCTGTATGAAATGGTGTTTAAGTTATTCCTAAAGCCTTTTTAAATGTAATTACAAGAATAATAGTACTTTAAGAGATACTTTTTAAATTTTTTATTCGATAAAACATGGTTATATTTTCCCATTTTGGGGGGGGGGGCTTCAGCCCGAAAGCTCCCCTCCTCCCCCGTAGATCCGCCCGTGTCGCTTACAGTATCCAGATCCGATTTTTAGTATGTGAAATATTTTAATTCATATGTTCGACTAAACTAATCGTTCGATTTTCAACACTATTTTTTCCTTTTCACCGAACGAAATCTGAGGGATCAATCTAATTCATTCTACACAAAAAAGTACAAAACGCGCCTATAGAAGTTTTCACTTAAAAAAAAAAAATAATCTGCAATAGTAAAAGTTATTTTTGGATGACAACGATCCAACCCATTTTATACATTTTCATTAGGGCTTTAAATTCCTTTTCTTGAGCATCATCTAAAGGATATTTTAGTAATTTATAAGGTAAACAATGTTTCGTTACAAATTATTAGGTCATAGATTAGCAGTGCGTCCAAGATGTAGCCATAGTTTTCCATCGTGACATTTTGTATTGATCGACTCCTACTTGTCGCTGCAGCTATATAATTAATCATTGTTGATCGTCATGAAGTGAGGCTATAAGGGCGAACGTCGAATGACTGGTAAGGTTGAATTGAGTGCGTGGGAAGGATCTGATTGCAATTAGGCTAATAGGTGGCGCTAGCGTCGCTCCGGAAGCGGGAGTCAACAGGTAGCTAAAGCAATGTTTGTCATGTTAATCATCGCCGGTGTTCTCTTGATCACCTGCTTATTATCATTAACAGATTGCGCTACCTTCGCTTCTCTGTTTGGAGATATCCTTCTCGACTTAAAATTATTTGATATATTATTTTGAACCATTGTAATCGTCCTAAAAATTCAAAAACTTAACCTCCCCTCTCAATTTTATGTTTTACGATTCAGAACACGTAGAAATCGAAAATCAAATAACATTTTTTTTTACTGTCCGCCGTCCACGTATTCTCCTAGACTACTGGATCGATTTTTTTTTCAAATTTGGAATCAAAGTCAGAGATCACCAGAGGATGATCCTACTTCATCAGCATTACTATCCGCCCTTTCCTTTCAAGATGGCGGTCTAAAAACTTGTATATAGACTGTAGCTCCTAAACAAATATACCGATTTCAATGAAAGTTAGCCGATGTCCTTTAAATTTATTTATATAACACACTTCAACAGAAAGAAGCTGAAAAAAAGTTACTAGAGGAGATAAAATTAGATTTTCAAATAACTCAAAAATTATACACTTTTTTGTCAATATCGTATACGCTTATTTTAAAAGTTTACAAATTTTACTAAAAAAAAATTATTGAAATCAGTCAATTTGGAGCAGAGATATGGTGCTATAGATATTTTTCATATGTTCTACTGCAAGGGTTATATCCTTTGTTTTGGTTTTTGATTTTTGAAAGTATTACTAAAAGCAATGCTATTTTATTTAGCAAACTACTAATGATGAAAAACATTTTTTACGTCAATTATATGAATCACCTTTTATTTATTTTTATTTATGTTACCAGGGAAATAATGTTAATTTAGATGTAAAATTGTTTAGAAATAATAAACCATTGTGTAATAATTTGCAGGGCTTTTTTATTATTAATATATTGAAATTTACAGCTGTATCAATAAATTACAAAAACTTAACCAGCTACAAGAATATGAAACATATTAGGAGCTACCCGTTGATAGAGTTCAATTAATTTAGATTAATTTAGGAATTCCCTTTGCCATCTTCTTTTCAAAAGCACCGAAGGGTTATCTGGAATTGTTTTGGATGAAAGTCTATGAAATGTAAGTCTATGAGAGGCCAAGGAGTCAGGAATTAAAAAAGAAATTTCTCCTGAGTGCCAAATCCCCAACAAAAGGAATATTGAGGTCTTTTTGTATGATATTATTTATGATATAATAAGAATTTATTTGTAGTACAATACAGTTATCTACTGTTATTTAAGAGATACAAGGGTTTATTTCGGAACCTCACAATAATATGGCTAAATCGATTATTGATGATGGCTTGGTTGTACATCGATTTTACAAGATTGGCGAAAAAGTGAAAAATTCTGGCAACTAATTAGAGTCTGCCGGCAATTGCTGCGATTGAAAAACGAGATTGGAAACGGTGGCTATAAATCATTAATTGACAGGAAGGGGGGGGGGGAGGTTATGAATCAAACGTGGCTGATATTGCACCGCGGTGGGCGGGGTCATCCTAATAACCGTGGCTTCTGATTGGCTACCGCTCACCGGCTGCCCATCATCATCTTCAGGTGCATTCAAACGGACGAGACCTCTTTGGCGGAATCCAAATCAAATTGGCTTATTTTTGAGCTCTTGAAAGTTCTTGTCTGTTGTTGATAATTTCCCTAACAAAGCTACTCTACGGTCATTTCACGACTGAGTAAGGCATGAGTAGGAAGATTTTAGCAATTTAAAGATGATCTTACATTGATATCTAGCCTATAAATCCATTATTTTTAAAATGTTGTCAAATTAAATAACTTGTTTATACGTCCACCATCTTGCCTTAATATGCATCTT